AAAATTGATATAAATTAGGATTGTATGGAAAATATTAGTATTTCACAAGCACTGTGAGAGTGAGGGAATGGGGAGAATAACATGTAACTTTACTCTCAATCAAAGCTCTGGAAAATTTAGCACCTTGATTATTTCTATTTGCCCCAGGTTTTGCTTATTAAGAATTATTTAGTGTATGAAGAAACCAACTTCCACACTGGGATGTTGCAGTCTTACAAAAAAAATCACTTTTAATTGGAATGAGAGACTTTACCCCAGTGCAAACCTGGGTTTGTTGATGCTGTAGGTTTGTACAGGGTAATTAAAAGCCTGCCTCGCCTCTGTGACGATATTTTGGAAATAAATGCAGCTTTTTGTAGTTTTCTGTCCTCGTTTTGGAATAGTTCTTGGCCAGTTTGAAGCTGCTGAAGGATGTGATGCTCTAGGTTTGGACATGGCCCTCTCAGCTCCCTGGGGAGCAGCCACGTCCTGCTGCAGTTGTTTTTTTACTCCTTGTTCTTTTACTACATCCACACATTATGAAAATGGGTGCTAATGACAAAAAAAAAATGCTAATTGTGATTCATGGAAATGGAATTTTGTTGACCAAAATTGCGGATTTAACTCGGCCAAAGGAAATGCTTTTACAACTGTAGATGAATATCTCAGGAATGGCCATTTCTTTGGAGAGAAAAAGCCATTCCAGTTTTAATTAAAAAAAAAAAAAAGGATAATGATGTAAAAGAAAAGCAAATAAAGGTGCAGACAGAACTAGATCCACTCAACAGCGGCAATAAAAGGTCCAGAAGTTAATTTTAGGTGAGTGAAATTAATGTAGAGTGGATGCAAGGCTAGGAGGGTGCTTGTCTCAGCACAAACCCAGTCCCCCATGACATAAATCTCCTCCTGGAATCCTGGAATGGTTTGGGTTGGAAGGGACCTTAAAGCTCATCCTGTTCCACTCATGATCCAGTGATACTGGGGTGGGAAGGATGAAGAAACAGTTTTGAAGAATGGGCTGATTGTTGTGCCCTGGACTATTGTCTTGCAGCTGCGAGGCTTTGTGGAGCGGTGGAGGACAGAGGGAGCGGAGCTCGCCTTGGGATGTGGAATTCCAGGCAGGGAATACAATCTACAGGGCATTCAAAAATCGAGGAGTGCAGTTAAAGTCCTGTTAGATTGATAAAAATGGCAAGGGGGGGGCAGAGTTTGTCCCGTGGCCACGGCAGGCTTTGGGTGCTCGGGGTTGGAAATGAGAACAGAAATGAGGGAAGTTGATCCTGGGAACTGAAAAAACAGGAAATACGAAATGCAGCTGGCATGTGTCACCCCATGACGCTGTGCACGGCATTCTGGGTTGGAGTAACTCCCTCACATGTGCTTTCCATGTTGTTAGACCAGGAGATCTAAGGATATATAACAGTGACATCAGCAAAATGGTCCAGTATTGTCCCCTAATTTGGGGGTTTGGGTGATTAACTCCCCCCCCCCCTACCCTGGGAATTCAGATAAGTCAGGCAGCAAAGCTGTGATGAAACTTTCTTTTCTAAGTAAGTAGCAGCCCTTGTTTGGGCCAAATCTGCAAGCTGATGGTAACCTAATATGATATAATTGAATGTAATATTGCTCTTGGATGTGGATTTAGGGGGAGGTGTGTGCACCAGCCAAGTCCCAGTCACTCAGCAGGAACTCGCTCCACGGCATCGTGAGCACTGCCACGTATGTTGCTTATAAAAAATGGACTTATTTTATCAGACAGATTTGCTACTCCATTTTCTACTCACGCAGCCAAGGAATTTTCACTAAAATGTACCTCTGTGGCTTCTTTTTGTCCCTCAGAAAAAGTTATTTCAGTGACACATCTAAATATTTTTAATGCCTCTGACAACCTCAGATTTCAGTGGCTTGGTCGTGTTTTCTATCAAGAAATAGGAATTGAGAATCTATCATTAAATGAGTTGTACTCAGGATCAAAAATGCCCCCCAGTACTTTTAAGCAGAGAGTAAGTTTGAACTATTAGACAAAGAGGGGAAATTCTTGGAGACTCGGACTAATGAAAACAATATGCTGGTAGAAAAATTGCATATCTGTTTTAAAAATGTTATTGTGTCTGAACATGGTTTTAAGCAAGTGAGTTACATGACACGATCCATTTTTTGACAAGTTACAGAATGGGAAATTAGAAGAAATGGGGGTGGGAGGTGAAGTCTCGGGCCATTTATTCTACTGAGATATGGCCAAAAGGGGGAAATGAACTTCTGAAAATTGGGAATTGAAAATATCAAAATTCTGAATGGTTGAGGAAAATACTATTCTTTAGTCTTCTCCAAAAGGTCAAGAGAAAAAATTTTGGAGCTTTAGCTCAGAAAGAGGACAACTGGAAGACTATTGGGGGTATTTTTACCTACTCCAGTTGCACCCCAGGTATGTCTTTTTAAAATTAAGACAGAACCCTGACAGATCTGAGTGTTGCCATCGCAGCCAGAGCTGCAACAACTGGGAGCACCTTTGAAAATCACTGTGTGTTGACAAAGTCTTTTCTTGGCAATAAACCATCATCTGAGAGTCAGGAGCAGAGAGGAACAAAATTTCATTACATGTAAATAATAGTCTAAATATAGAAGCACAGATTGTTTTTCTCATTAAGTTCCTTCTTCATACTAAAGCATATCCTGCTTTTAAAAACAAGTGACTATCAAAAAGTCCAAACTGAAAAATAAGGGGCCTGCACGAGCTTTGTCTGTACAAAACCCTGACAAGTATTTTAAACCAAATTTTCGGTACCCTCTGTTTTAGTTCGCTTCCTTATTTTAATGGAGCTGAAGACATTCTCAGCCTGCTTTATTTAAAGCCAGTTTTGAAAGAGGACACTGTGGTTTATGGCCATGTGTCAAGTTTGATAGTGCTATGCCATGATTTAGCAAAACACTTCAAGCACACGTCCACATCCCACTGAATTTGGTAGGAAGTGAAGAAGCAGAGGAAAAACTGTTTGCTGTGCAGCAAGCAGCCTCATTCAGGGGAAAAAAAAAAAGTAATTGAAATCAAAAAGGATTTGTCTTCATACAATTAGAGACCGTTTCTGCCAAATTCCTGAAACGAGACACAAACTCATCGATCACGTTAGATCCTGATTATTAAACAGACTGAATCATTTCAGATGAAGGGTTCCAAACTGGGCTGCTTCAGACCACTGAAATAGATGGGCTAATTATGGGACCCGTGGGCGTTCTGGGGAGTCAGCTGACTTTTTATTTTTTTTTTTAGATATCTTGCCGAGCACCCTGCCCCCTCCCCAAACCAGCCTCTTCGACACCCTGATAAGTCTTCATTACATGCAGGATTAAGCTGGAGTATCGGAGTGTCACTTATCAGCCTCTTCTAATTGCTCCTCATTTCCTGAGTGCTTCGTTTGATATGCTGAACGGAAAAGAAACCCACGAGAACAGTGGATATTTGGATATCTGCAATAAAAGCGGGGTGTAGACATGGCCTGGAGATGAGAGAGGGGTCCCAGCGAGGAGTCTCCTGGATTTGCTGTCTACAGTCTGGAGACCAAGCTGGGGAATATTTCTGGGAGAAATGCTTGGAAATGGAATGTTTGGAAGGAGATAGGAGTTCTCTTTGGTCAGAGAATCGGGACTTCATATATATACATATATATATATATATATATATACACACACACACACATATTCATTCATATATATTTATATATATTCTTATGAATAAAGAGGATGGTATCAAAAACCTACTTACTAGAAAGACATTTGACACCACTCTCCCCTCAATGCAAACTACCTAATTTTAAATCGTGGGTAACTCCTCCGGTCATATGGGATGAATTATAACTCAGTAATAACCAGGAGTGGTAATCTCCTTACCACATGTTCCCTGGGTGGCCCCAAACACACTTTAATCTATGGAGTGGAGACAATAATGTTTGGTTGGTTTTTTTTTTTTTTAATTTCTGTCTTGCAATGCACATAATCTAAGTGCTTTCTGAATGTAAAGTTGGGGTTTATGGAAGCTATGGAAAAGTAGGAAACTGTGTTTCATTTTTTCTCTTCTCTGCATCAAGGTGAAGGCCAAGTGAAGAGTCTCGTGGTGATCTGTATTTATAGAGTAACACACAGGTAAAAATAACTTGAATGAAGCCAAAGTGACTTGAATATTTGTATTTAATCTGCCCAATTCACAACTGATTCTGTCATCTCGCCAGGCAGCAACTTTGATGTATATTTTCCTCTCTGTATTACCTGGTCTGCTGTTGGAATAACCCACATTTTACTCGAAATTGACATGAAATGGTCAATTTGCATCTCAAGGCTCTGCTCCGGTTCCTTAGGCCTCCCAAGAACACCTGTATTGCTGTTCCTCGCTAAGAGGAAAACCCGGGCAAGCTCGTGATGATTCCCTGAACTTTTCTGCAGAAGCCCAGGGGAATAAAACTTATTATTTATAAAACTCATCATTTCCCGCTTGGTGCAGATCAGGAGCCTGAGGGTTCCACACCGCCCCCAGGGACCCCAGCCCCGTCCCGTGCTGCTCCACTCCTAAACTACTTAAACCCGCGGATTAAGCAGCAGGAATCAGAGTTGCAAATTCCAATTTTAAATAACTTTATTTATTACTACATCGACGCGCATCCACCGCCCCCCGCTGGTGCTCCGGAGGGTCCCGGGGCTCGGGTCCCTCAGGGGGGCGTGGGTCCCTTAGGGAGCGCCGCCCGCTCCCCTCACGGAGCGACCCGCGGGGGCCGCGCTGGAAAAGGGGGGAAACTTTGCGGGCAGGGCGGCGGCGGCGGCAACACGGTGCCAGCGGGGCGGCTCGGGGAGCCCCGCGGAGGGGCCGGGGGTGGGGACCGAGGGTCTCTGCCGAAGGGACCGGGGTGGGACCCCCGCCCGAGGAGGAGGCACAAAATGGCGCCGCGATTCAAACGCTGCGCGCCGGGAGCGGGCGGGGCGGCGGGAGGGGGGGGGGCGGTGTCCCGGCGGGGTTCACTGCGCCTGCGCGCGGCCTCGCAAGATGGCGGACAGTGCGGAACTAAAGGTAAAGCGCAGCTCGGGGTCCCCCCGCGGAGCGGCCGCGGCCGGGACGGGACGGGCTGGGCTGGGCCGGGGCGGCCGCGGATCCCGGCGGGGCGGGCGCGGCGGGGCGGCCGCCGGCAGCGGGGGCGGAGGGACGGGGAGAGCGCCGGCGGGCGGCACGGCGCGGAGCTGCCTGCCTTCCCCTGGCCGCCCCCCCTTCGCCGGCCGCGCTCCGCCGGGGCAGCGCGCTTGGCCCCGCTCCGCGCCCGCCGGGTCGGGCCGCGCCGGGCGGGCTGCGCGGGCAGGGGCGGCGGCCTCGCCGGGCTCCCGGGGGGTGCCGGCCATGGGCAGCGCCGCCGCTGCCGGGGCGGGGGAAGGAGCCCTCGGGCTCCCCGCGAAGTTTGCGGGGAGTGCGGCGGTGACAGCGCGGGCACCGCGCCGGGCGGCCCCGCTCGCCGCCCGCCCCGCGGGATCCAGCGCGTCACGGGCAGAGCTGGAGGAGTTCGGCGGGGCTGAGCTGGCGCCGGTCCCTGTCACCCGTGGAAAAGGGGCGCTCCGGCCGCCCCGCAGCGCAGCTGGGGCTCCCTCGGTGCGGCCCGGGGGGCGGTTCGGGGGGCTCGGCACGGGGAGCGGCCCCCGCGAGCTTCGCCTTCCACCCCCTCGGCCTCGGGGAAGTCGCCACGCACTTTGCAATAGTCACTTCAGTTATCCAGCAGGGATTTTGAGGAACTGTCGTAGCGGGCGGCGGGGGCATCCGCTCTGGTCACACGCCCAAAAATCCAAGGAAAAGCGCCCCCCCCCCCCCCCCCCCCGAAAAAAAAACCCCAAAACAACTTTGCCGTGGCTTCGATGCCGGGCGTGGGGCTGCAAACCCTGCCCTGCACGCCCGGCAGCGCGGGGAAAGTTTGGGAGTTTGGTCGCAGTTGCCACGGGGTCGTTATTCAGCAGGAGGGCTCCTGTCTCCTGCTCCGAAGTGAATGCAGCGAAAGGCACAAATCAGGTGTACATTAAATGGGTGAAATCAGAAGTGTGTTAAAAGTGCAGCAAAGTGCAGAATATGAGGTATGACTACGGAAATACTTTGGTTTTCCCTGGAGACTCAGTAGGTCTCGGTTTTCTGTGTATCAAAGGTAATGTGGACTTTCATTTTGAGATGCTTTAAGGAGCTGTCAGGAGGTAAAGAAGTATAAAACCTTGAGCGTGTCCAACTTCAGCATCATCTTTAAATCCTCCTGTGGCCTTAGTTTTTCTGGGTATTTTCAGACCACATTTTCAACCATTGGGCTGTGTTGTCCTTAAGTCCTTCTTTTCAAAATGTGCTTCCCACGGAACGAGATAACAGGTTGGGAAGCGATTCCAGCATTTTTAAGTTTTGTTAATTTAAGCGTGGCAAATGGAGTAATGTGTTTTAGTAACCAGCTCTGAGGGGTTTGGGTGCACAGCAGCCAGGTGGGGTTTATGTGATGCCTTTCTTAGCAACCCTCACTGAAATGGAGTTAGATGAGAGGTAAGGAATAAAGTTATTTTTTTGGGGTGTGTGTTAAGATGACAGGACGGTGGGCAAGGGACAGGGCTGAAAGGCAGGATTTGGCTGTGCAAATCGACAGTTTATTGATCTTGGGAGCTTTGAAACCTGAAGCCTGTGGTCCATCAGGCTGGGGGGGGCCTGTCCTTTTCTCTTCCTCTGCAGCTTCGCAGGTGGATCTTTCACAGACCTGTTTCTGTGACTGCTTGTCATCCCAGACCTCTTTCTAGATCCCTCCCTAAAACTTCCTTATTGAGAACCAGTAGAAAGAAATCAGAATTTTTAAAAATTAATTCTTCCTAAAGTGCAGTTGCTGCCTCGGGAATTTGGAGAGTGAATGCCCAGCCGACTACTTTATTTTCATATTCACTTTTCTGCTCAGGGTAGTGGCACTTGCAGGCTGACAGGGAAGGATCCCACTGCATTCTGTGAAAACTTGGGTTTTTCCTCTAGTTTTGGGGGCTTGGCATAAGAAAAAAATACTTACTTCATGAATTTACCCTTGGAAGACTTCAGTCTCCAAAACTTTTTTTTTTACAAGGAAAAAAAGGTGTGTGGGTGGGTCCTGCTGTGTCAGGAAGGAGAGGGGAAGACAAGGGGGCCCAAAATTCCTGCTTTGGGTCGGAGCTGTCCCAGGGTGGTTTTCCAGGAGCAGCACAGCTCAGTGATGAGGTCCTGGATGAGGGGAGTGCTCCTGGGAAGAACGGGGCTAATGGAAAGCTGTGACATCAGGCCTGGGGGCAGTGAGTGTTTTCTGAGCAGGAGTAAATCCCCGGAAAACTTTTAAAATTCTTTCTTTGCAAGTGGAAGGATACCAAAGGGAGGGTTTGTGATTAAGACTCTGCTGTTTGAAGGATGACCAGTGAATTCCTTTAATTATTTTCATTTTCTTAGGTAAAAGCCTTTTCCATTTCTCCTCTGATTAATTAGCAAATGGCATTGATTTCAGCTTTAGTGACCTTTAAAAACTAAAATAAAATGTGATAGCTGTGCAGTGACTCGCTTGCCTTGCCAGAAGAAGTTTGTCAGGAAGACTTAGAAAAGTTTCTAAAACTTTTTTGCCTTCCCTTGTGGGTAACGCTGCCCGTGTAAATTGGGGAATGGGATATGGTGGTGTTGCCAAAGGCAAATGAAAGGTCCTGCTCCCTCCAGAAGAACAGTGGTCAGTCTTACTTGCCATAACTTTTCCTGGAGCTTTACATCGTGAAACAGCCTCTTTTTTGTAATGTGTTATCTCACCATAATCAAGGATATTTCAGTCTTTTGCTCCATTTGGGACTGTTTGTCCTATTGGGAAAAAAAATAATCAGATAAGATCAAACATACTCTGCAGATCCCAGACTTGTGAGGTTACTGAATTCTTTGGTACTCTGGAAGGGCTGGATAAATTGAACCAGTATGTTTTCATTTCTGCTGCTGAAATAAGGTAACTGGAAAGTCTGTGGAGTTCTCCATAACTCCATAGGCTGAGGCATATGTGAATTTTCCTGATCTTAATTACTATTCCTGTATAATTGCACACAGACTCTAATTTATCTCAAGGTAAGCTATTTAAAGCTCTTTCTAATTGGAAGGAGTATACTTGAGTGATTAAATCTTTCCTTCAATATTTCTTACATCTCTTTAAATTGGTTATTAGATTGTTGTGATCTTTGCCTTCCACTCAAGTCCTTTGGAAATCATTACACAGTTTGCAATAATCAATTCAATTATACATGGATCAAAGAAGGAAAAAGAAAAGCTTATGTTCGAGTATTGTCATTCTTGATACTGTCCTAAGGAGCTGGTTTGGAAAGCACATGCTGGGAGGTTTTCTCCTTTGTTCTCTCTCCTTTTAAGAAAGTGCCTTTGGGGATTGAAGAGATCCCTGGTGTGTTTCTTGTTAGACACAATTTATACTTAAAAAAAAAAAAAAAAAAAGTGAGCCAAGAGTTTGAATGAAAATTCATAAAAGCGTTTCCACACAATGGGGAGGAAAACAAACCAGTCAGAAACACCCAGTTGGGAAATACCCCTCCCCTAAATGCAGGGAGGCAGCTTTTGAGGGGGACAGGTTGGTGGCACAGCTTTCAGGTGGGGGTGACAGCAGTGACAAGTGGATCTCTGGAATGGCATCCCCAATGCTGATAGGGATAGTCTGCCTATTTCGGTGTTCAATTAGAATTTTACTCCTCTGTATTACAATTTTACTCCTCTGTATTACGAGTTATTTTTGCTTAATCCTTTTATAAGTTGCTGTGGTTGGTTGTTTCTGTGATTAAAGTAAATATAATCTACTTTTCATTGTTATCTGAGTCCCTGGATTATGGTGGTTTCACGCTGTAATTTAGTGTGTGGCAGCACCGTGGTGTTTTTAACTGTCTTTTGGTCCAGGTATATCATTTTTTGAGCCTTTGGTCTTTGCCACTGGGATTGCAGATACCAGAGGAATAACGTTGGCAGCTGTGCATCACCACTTAACTGTCAGAGCCCCAATCCATAACCCTTCTTTATGGCCAATAAAACCCAGATTGCCTGTTGTGCACACGGAAAGGCAGTGGCAGTGCACTTGTGCAGAAACCCTCCCCGGCACCGGGGCCACCCTGGAGGCTTCTGTGCTTCTGGGTAAGGAAAAATCTCATTTGATGCCACTTGGGAGAAGGGAGGAAGGGGTAAGAGCCATGCCCACCCTACTGGATATTTGTAATGGGTTTTACAGTTCATTTTCCTTTTGCTTTAGAAGTCACAGTTACAGGGCTGAGAAGGATAGAGGCAGGTAGAAGATGCATCTTTAGCTTTATTCCACGAGGAGAGTGTTCCCCTCAGGAGGGTGGGTGCTCAGGACTCGGTGTCTGCCTGAGGCACACGAGGCAAATAGTTAAAAGCATCCCGTGGAACGGGGTGTGGACAGTTCAGATACCTTCAGATATTGAAGTTATTTATAGGGATGCAGCCACTGCTCTGGTTTCAGTGGTTTATGGCCTGACCTGCCTTCACACAGGGCACAGAGATAAGTGCAGACCTGTCACTAATGTCTCTGGCACGGAGGATTGGAGTTCCTGTAATCTGTTCTCAGAGAAGTCAGCGTCTCATCATTTCCCTCTTTAGGGCCATTAAGGTGAAAACCAAAGCACAGCTTCCACACACTTGAGACTTGAGTGCTCCCTGTAATTGTTGTGAGATACCCCCAGCCCTCTCCCACCCCGTGAGTGCCTCCCTGCTGCCATTCTCTGGAGCACCTCCTGGAATCCCTGCTTGTCCCAGGGCACAGAGAGTGTGAGCTGGTGGCTCCGTCAGCATGGCCTTCCCTGGGCTCTGCTGATACTGAATTTGAAGCAACAGTCCCTTGGTTGCTGTGAATCAACATTTTGAAAGGGTTACTTTTTGGATCACTCTAATCCCGTTGGATTTATGGCTGGGAAATGGGTTGAGTCTCTTGTGACTTTTCTCTTCTTGGTGTTTGGCCCTTTGGCTGCACAAGGAGAGAATTCCACCCACAGTCCTGCTCAGCTTTGTCA